GTGGTACCACTGTAGGATAACAAGTTGAACAAGTACGCGCTGATTGCTGACACGCTAGCGTAATATATAAGTTCCCTATAAACCCAGTTAGCTAATGAATTCACCGTGGAACCACTGTGAAGATCACGAATGCAACAAGTACGCGCTGATTGCTGACACACTGGAGTAGTGCAACGTACCTTATGCACCCAGTAAGCTACTGGAACCGCTGTGGCGCCACTGTAGGATCACAAGTGAAACAAATACGCGCCAATTGCTGACACGCTAGCGTAATATATAAGTTCCCTTTAAACCCAGTTAGCTAATGATTTCACCGTGGAACCACTGTGAAGATCGCAAGTGCAACAAGTACGCGCTGATTGCTGACACACTGGAGTAGTGCAACGTACCTTATGCACCCAGTAAGCTACTGGAACCGCTGTGGCACCACTGTAGAATCACAAGTGAAACAAGTACGCGCTGATTGCTGACACGCTAGCGTAATATATGAGTTCCCCATTAACCCAGCTAGCTAATGAATTCACCGTGGAACCACTGTGAAGATCACAAGTGCTACACGTAAGCCCTGATTGCTAACACGCTGGCGTGATACACAATTACTTTATATTCCTCATGAACTAATGGAACCGCTGTGGTACCACTGTAGGATCACAAGTGAAACAAGTAGGCGCTGACTGCTGACACACTGGCTTAGTACGACGTACCTTATAAACCCGGTTATCTAACGAATCTACCGTGGAACCACTGTGAAGATCACAAGTTAAACAAGTACCCGCTGATTGCTGACACAATGGCGTAGTGCAACGTACTTTATGCACCCAGTAAGCTACTGGAATCGCTGTGGTACCACTGTAGGATCACAAATGAAACAAATACGCGCTGATTGCAGACACGCTAACGTGATACATAGTTACGTTATAAACCTCACGAACTAATGGATCCGCCGTGGTACCACTGTGGGATAACAAGTGGAACAAGTGCGCGCTGATTGCTGACACACTGGCTTATAGTATTACGACGTAACCTATAAGCCCAGTTAGCTAATGAATCCACCGTGGAACCACTGCGAAGATCACAAGTGCAACAAGGACGCGCCGATTGCTGACACACTGGAGTAGTGCAACGTACCTTATGCACCCTGTAAGCTACTGAAACCGCTGTGGCGCCACAGTAGGATCACAAGTGAAACAAGTACGCGCTGATTGCTGGCACGCTAGCGTAATATATAAGTTCCCTATAAACCCAGTTAGCTAATGATTTCACCGTGGAACCACTGTGAAGATCACAAGTGCAACATGTACGCGCTGATTGCTGACACACTGGAGTAGTGCAACGTACCTTATGCACCCAGTAAGCTACTGGAACCGCTGTGGCGCCACAGTAGGATCGCAAGTGAAACAAGTACGCGCTGACTGCTGACACGCTAGCGTAATATATAAGTTCCCTATAAACCCAGTTAGCTAATGATTTCACCGTGGAACCACTGTGAAGATCACAAGTGCAACAAGTACGCGCTGATTGCTGACACACTGGAGTAGGGCAACGTACCTTATGCACCCAGTAGGCTACTGGATCCGCTGTGGCACCACTGTAGAATCACAAGTGAAACAAGTACGCGCTGATTGCTGACACACTGGAGTATGCAACGTACCTTATGCACCCAGTAGGCTACTGGATCCGCTGTGGAACCACTGTGAAGATCACAAGTGCAACAAGTACGCGCTGATTGCTGACACAAGTTAAACAAGTACCTGCTGGATCCGCGGTGGTACCACTGTAGGATAACAAGTGGAACAAGTGCGCGCTGATTGCTGACACGGTGGCGTAATATGGCCGTACTCTACACACCCCGTTAACTAGTGAATCCACTGTGGAACCACTGTGAAAAACACAAGTTAAACAAGTACCCGCTGATTGCTGACACAAGTTAAACAAGTACCTGCTGGATCCGCGGTGGTACCACTGTAGGATAACAAGTGGAACAAGTGCGCGCTGATTGCTGACACGGTGGCGTAATATGGCCGTACTCTACACACCCCGTTAACTAGTGAATCCACTGTGGAACCACTGTGAAAAACACAAGTTAAACAAGTACCCGCTGATTGCTGACACACTGGCGTAGTGCAACGTACCTTATGCACCCAGTAAGCTACTGGAACCGCTGTGGTCCACTGTAGGATCACAAGTGAAACAATACGCGATGATTGCTGAGACACTTTCGTAGTACGACGTACCCTATAAACCCGGTTATCTAATGAATCTAACGTAGAGCCACCATGATTGCAGGCACACCGGCGTAGTGCGACGTACCCTGTACAGCTAGTGTACTAATGGAACCGCTGTGGTACCACTGTAGGATCACAAGTTAAACAAGTACCCGCTGATTGCAGACAAACCGGCGTAGTGCAACGTACTATGTACAGCCAGTGAACTAATGGAACCGCTGTGGTACCACTGTAGAATCACAAGTGAAATAAGTACGCGCTAATTGCTGACACTCTGGTGGCGTGATACACAATTACCTTATAAACCTCACGAACTAATGGATCCGCTGTGGTGCCACTGTAAGATGACAGGTGAGAAAAGTAAGCGCTGATTGCTGACACCCTGGCATCATACCTGCGTACCCTTTAAAAACGTTGAACTAATAGACCTCCGTGGAACCTCTGTAGGTAGAACCGCAATTCACAAGTGAAACAAATACGCTTTGAATGCTGAATCGCTCGCATAATACTAGCGTACCCTATGCACCAAGTGAACTAATGGAACCGCCGTCGGCCTTTGTAGCACCACAATCGAAAAAAGGTACGCTTTGCCTTGTTCAATCGCCGTCACGCTACCAATGTAACCCGTATACCACTGGAATCACATTGAGCGATCGTAGTACTTGTAATCTGAATAGCTTTTAAATGACAAGTCAGAGACTTCGAAGTTGGCTTTTTTTCCTTTCACACATCCTTGTGCACTCTTGAAGGCAGTTACGTGAGCTACAAGCAAATGGTCTCCTGACTGCTCAAACGTCGGGTGTTAATATTGAACATACTAATATTGTCGATCGCCGAAACTCCTGAAAAAAATCGTGTTTCACAAATTTAAAAACATTGTCTCCAAGTTTCCATGATTAGTTTTCATCTGTAAGTCGGATTTTTTTGTTCTGTCGTTACGTGCACGACCGCTCGTGGGCATTGCTGTAATTTTATTGGTCTATCTCCCTTACCACTTGTGTTTCTGCGATCTCTCTTTACCTGATCGCTGTTACCATGTCGCTAAACTGTTTGGATCTCCCTGAGGAGGCCAAGCTGTACGTTGATCGGATGCAGGAATTCTTTGCTCAGCTGCGCGATCTCAAGTTGGCAGGGAGTACCTGTGATGTGGAGCTCAAAGGCAGCGAGGATGCATCCCCTAGAATTTCCTGTCATCGTCTGGTTCTTGCAGCGTGCAGCAATTACTTTAGAACGTTCCTTTTTGCCCCGGGTTGGAAGGAGTCTTCCCAGAGAATTATCCAGCTGAATAACATTCGGTCCGAGACTCTGAATATGTAAGTGCAAGAGGCTGTCAAATTGAGTGGAGGCTTACTGTAAGCAAAAAGCTACTAAAGTCAGTGAAGTGATTGACTTCGTGCTGCCTAATTATCAGTCATGTGAAAGAAATGATCGAAGAGTCGTCAATTCCAGAGGTTTTTTGTTTTCAGTTCATTGCATATTCGTATCGGTGAATACTGCTTCTAACTGTTAAAAGAAATTGTACAAACATATTTAATATTGCTATTTGTTTTCGGTACCTACGGCAGTACTTCAGTCTTTGTATATAATCAGGTTGGTGGATTATGCATATACAATGGAAATTATCATCAACGAGGAGAATGTCAAGCCGGTCCTGTGCGCTGCTCACTTCTTGGACATCTCTTCAGTTGGGAAACAGTGCTGGAATTTCCTGGAAAACCACTTATCAGTACTAAATTGCTTGTTGGTTTATTTCCTGGCTGAGCTGTACGATAATCTGCATCTGCTTGGGAAAGCCAAGGCTCTGCTTCTCCTACATTTCATCTGCCCAAAACCGATGGCTTTCTGCAGCTGGAAGTGAAAGAAGTGTGTCTTCCATCAGCAGCGAAACGAGAAAAAGCAATTATATAAACGTTATTTTTTGTTTGGTTGATGTTTCAGTTACAAGAGTTATGCGCGCTCGATGGTCTACGCGTGGAGACGGAGGATCAGGTTTTTGAAGCGGTGATGGGCTGGTTTAATTACGACCAGGCGGGACGCAGCGCACACCTTTCGGATGCGTTAAAGTTTATTCGCGTTCCGTTTCTTGGACTGCAGAGCCTGGAGCATTATGTCATAGCCCTTATTAACGGTTTTAACGGAACAGCTTCCGCCAGCCTGCGACATTGCCAAGCCGGTATTATTAGCGAGGTATCAGGAAAAGGCGCGGATGCTGTTCTGTGTGATCAACCTCGCCAATCATATGGTAAAATGTGGGGCTAGTTTGTATTACTTTATGCCATAACATTATCGCCTACTCAGATGTTTCTTACTTTTTGACACTATATTATACCGGTTATATTGTACGTACAGCCGCATCGCAGCTTTATACCGGGTAGTTGCTTTCCTATGGGCAGATTATCTCACAAGTGTACAACGGAATAATGTTTCAGATTTGGTAGACATAATTGTCTTCGTTGGCGGATTTGATCGCGACCGGAAGATTCTGGACACTGCAGTTGTATTTATTCCATCACTGTCTGCATTCGGTTCTCTTCAGAAGATGACATCTCGTGTTTTCGACTGTGGTGTGGTGGCACTGAAAGATGGTTCGATTTTCGTATGCGGTGGAACGACAGCGTTTATTCCCATGCAGACTACTTCGCGAGTCATCTGTTATGATCCACTTCGTAGTGTGTGGGAGGACGCTGCGCATATGCAAGTTCCACGTACTAATTTTTGCTTGGCTGTGTTGGGTGATGACATCTACGTTGCTGGCGGTTATAATCACATAAACGGTGTTCATGCAGTGTTACGATCTCTAGAACGTTATGATTCCCAAACACAAGTGTGGAGCGGAGAAAGCGATATACCGGCCGCGTGTGGTTATGGATTTAGCATGTGTGCTGCTAAGGATCGCATTTACTTGTTTGGTGGATCTGTCAACGATAAAGCTACAAGTGTTGCTTTTTCCTATAATCCAGCAAGTCAGGCATGGGAAAAGTTGGCTGATATGCCCACTGCTCGAACCGCGAGTTTCGCATGCGTTAGTTCCGATGGACTGATTTATGTTATCGGTACGTTTGTTTAATAAGCATTTTGCTCGATTTTTTTACACTAATTTTGCATTAGCTTTGGTTGCTGTCTATGATGCGGTCATGTTTTTGAATCTGTTTACGGTGCTCTGCGATTATTTAGGTGGGATGGCCAATTCCATGCCCTTGAACTGCGTGGAAGTTTACGATGCTGATTCCGGCACCTGGATCAAGAAAAGTGGGTTGTTGATATTACAGTATCGGCGCGATTTGTTATTTCAATAGCGATATGTGAATGTGCGATTCATTTTTAAAATTCAGGTGGAATGATCGTTAAACGCTGGGATGCTGGATGTGGATATTCGGATGGGAAGATTTACGTCTTCGGTGGTTCCACTAACAGGGAATTTGAGGATTCTTTAGAATGGTATGACGCAGAAAAAAATAAATGGACCATGCACGAACGTCGCTTGCCAAAAGCCGTCCACGGATTCGGTTGCACGGTGGGGAGGATGAAAAAGGTGGCGCTGCCTGTGGCATTTTTATGCATAAATTTCTGTTTGCAGTTTTTCTGTTTTGTAGTGCATGCTTTGGCATTGCTGTCGAATTCCGTTGGATAGGACAAAAAGGTCAACCATCAAGTCGCTATGTATCCAGGAGCATCAATTATGTGTTGCTAACGTTTGTGTTAACTGTTACTTTCTGATAAAGCGAGATGATCAGTTTACTTAAGTCGTTGAGTGCGCGAACGCGAAGACTAGGGTAATTGGATTAGTTTTCGAACTCGGGCCAGCTGTTCTACAATAACAGTACATACTGTATATGTATGTTGTCCTATTACTTCAGCAGAATTTGATGCATGTACAGCTGGCACCGTGCTCGGCTTCCAGAATGCTTTGGCGCCGTAACATTTATTTTTTATTGAATATGCCCTTAAATAAACAGCGAAATTTCTACTGCCATCAGCAAATACAAGACTGAACCATGGCCGTGTGGGAACTTACTGGAAAGCATGACGTGGTCGTTTACTTGAGTTCCAAGTCAAAGTCTTACGTATCGAGGTAGCAGTGATCCCCAAAAAGTGCGATACTTAATTCAGAGCTGTTCGCAGAGGGTAGGCCTCGATGAATGGCATGCGATGGCTCGGTGATTCTATGAACTAGTGAAGAGATGCTAACATCAGGAAAATTCTTGTGTGCGATACAGTCATAAATATCGCTTTCTGGGCCTTAGGTGAATGTCCATACAAAAGCTTCCGCCGCCAATGGTCAGCCCTACATAGCGAGCGGCCAACTCCGCCCCTGCAATAAACAAATTCCAGTGCTTATAATCTTCCACATAATTTTACGTGACAATACGTATTACACCAATGGTTGGTTACAATTCTGTATTTTACTTTCACGAAATTTTTCAACGAAATGCAGCGTTTGCATTGTTACTTCCAACGGTAAAACTTCACCGTACGTATTACTAGTTTGGACTCGTGATGCCGTAGTAATAGTTTGCTAATGCGAAACGCTCGTACTATTACGATGTACATAACTTTCGAAATTGTATCCATATCACATAATTCAGTTACAAAATCTGTACTACGTGATATTTGATTAGAATACGCGCATAAAACATTTACATAATTATAGCTGCAATAGAAAATAACGGTTGGCGAATATTTGTGCACATATGTACTAACTACCAACTCATCGTCACTACCAAGTACTTACTATAATGGCTGAGATGACTAGAGTGGCCGAGCTAAAGTAAGTATGTGTTTGTACATACAACACATTTCGATGCTTGCATATTGCAAATCCGGCGCTGCGACAATATCGAGTGCGGTAATTTGTACGTAATCATGCTTGCATATTATAGTTATGCAAATCATCAGCCCAGCTACATAAAGACTGCTAACATTAAACATAGTTTAGAAGACAAATTGCTAAAACTCTATACGACATTGCTTACTGAGTTAAAACTTTATGGAGTCTGGCTATCCTTGTTAATTACAAATTTTATACACCAACTAAACAAAAACAGTTTTAACAGGCTATAACAAGAAAATTTCCTCTAATTTCTCATGATCCGGTATTGTGCCCATCACGCGCATTGCGTTTCCTCTTTGAATCTGTATGGAGATCCGCTGCCGGAAAAATTCCCTCGCCCGTGGTTGCCGGGTAGTGGCCGCGACGAGGTGTCCGATTTTATCCACTAGCTTCTTAGCTCCGCCGCCCAAAGGTCCGTATGTTTCGAAGGCAGCGGCGACAAAATTGTACCTTGGCTGAAGCCACGCATGTTTTGCGAGCTTTTTTGTTTCGGCTAGTCAAAACTTGAATAGGAGGGGCGAGGTAAAGGAAGAAACACTACCCGGGTAGTGTAGGAAAAACCACAATAGAACCGGGCCAGCGAGTCAGCGACCAACAGACAACATAATAACCCATTTAGTTTTCATCAACTTCAGAGCCTGGAGTGGCCGTGTTGTTTGTTCATTTGTTGCAACATTGATCCAATTTTAGTGGTCAGTACTGTAAATCATCGATTCTGTATTCCTGTTCGAGAGAAACCATCTGTAGCAATCAATTAAAACTTCGGTAAACTGGAAGCGAATAGCGCGAGGACGCTTAAACACCACCACTTCTTATAACCGTAGGTATGCTAAAAAGTCTTGACTAAACCATGACCTTTAGGCCACTTTTATATCTTACAGATACGTGTAACTAGCTAACCATGTTGCAATCATAAAAACACGATCCTAAACGGCTCATGTTCTTTAAAGTAATTCGGAAGACTATGTTGCAATATTCCTAGCGAAAGAAAAGACATATTCAACAATTTTACCTGTTTTATTAGAGAACGATTGACACCAATGAGCTGTTCGGCGATGAGCTCAACACTCTGGTGCCGTCGAATAAACATAAGATTCTCCATTTTGTCATCCACACTGTTATGGTATGCCAAGTTTTCCTCTCCTTTTCCGTGATGTTCTGAAGACCGGGTCGTGCACTGCATGCCACTGCCGAGAATGATAGGCACGTGGTTTTGTAACAACTGCAATAATTTTTCACTAATGCGGCTGAACAAAATGTCGGTCTGATTTTCCATGGTGCGCGAGATCCGTCCAATACTTGATTGTCACGATCTTAGTTTCTTTTAAAAGAGCAATGTTTCTAACATAGAAATTTTAAGTCAAACCAAGATTATCTTAAGAGTGAACTTTTTAGTAAATTATTTTGAAAAATTGGGTAGATTTCGAGAATGTCCTGGAAGCGGAAATTTGAATTTGCCCATTCCGAAATCGAAAATTACTGTTTTTCAGCTAAATAGGATAATTTATCTCAAGTTAGGGTTTCGGGAAGCGGGGTTGTTTCTTGTTTTTTGAATGTAAGGAACAGCAATATTCTATCACCCGTATTGGGCCAGTGAGCGGAATAACGAAAACTCCGCACGAGTATTTCTCGTGAAAACCGCATGTAGGGTTTTTGAAAGCAAATCTCTGACCAACGCTTTTAGAGGTGATCTGTTTCAATCTTTTTTCTGCAAGGGCGACATTAAAATGTTAAACTGACATTTTTTATTTCAACTTGTCATGCAGCCAAAAAAGTTTTGTAAATTTTTGGGAGCTAACAAAATTCTCTATCGAACGAGCCTAATTAGTTGACGGTGGGGCCACCGGCCCACGAGAAACAAACCAAAACGGTAGACCCACATTTTCTTCAGCCACCCGGGTAAAACCAACAGTTGCAACTGTTACATGTATTTTACTGTTTGCTATTGTCTCTCGTAATGTGAGCCGAAGTTCACCTTTAACTTAGGTGCAGGAATTAATAAACAGGTACCTGCTCTGAAGCTGCGTTACAGAAACCAAGATGACTGCGCAATAAAAGAGATAAACAGAAACCATACGATAAAGTAAAACCATGGGGCCGGCGACTTCTCGACGCAAACAAGGTATGGCCTTCTTGCGGCATCATTAATTTTTAAAATATCCAGATTTTCGTTTGACATTTTATTATTGCCACTGTTTCAACCCAGTATTTCCGGTTCACATAATCAGTTAAAAGTGATAATATTAACACAAGGACGCCTAGTGCAGTTGTCCAGAGTCGCCATTTTGGATCATCGAATTTAGCGAATCCGGCTTGTTGCATGTCAAAAAAGCTAAATTTTCTTGTGCCGTTTTTTACAGGTGAAGTAAAAGACAACTACGGTAAAAAACCAGCGCAGGGCGTTAGCACAGTTAGGAAAGTCAGGCAACCAGGAAGCCACGTCTACCTGGTTACTCCCACCCGGTGCAGTTCCAAAGGCCACCGTGTACCGAATAGCGGTCGACCGACAGAAATGTCACAAAGCCGGAAAGCAGAATACTATTGTTCAAAACCAAAGTGTACTGTACTAGCCACTTCGATAAAGAGATTCTGCGCTTCATGATGACGGGATTACGACAATTTGTAATCAAAAATTTTGAAAAGCGATTACGAATGAAAATATTTCGCGGTCGGTCGTATTATTCCTTGTGGATTTTTCTCTGCACTAAATAGGACGCCGAACGGTAAATTCGCGGTGGTATGGCTCTACTTACAATCTTACGTAGGGAAAATTAGAGAGTATACTGTTACATAATTTATGGCAAAGCAAAGTAATTAAAGGTCACGGCACGGCTAAACCGGCCGGTATGCTAACATATGATAATATGCATTAACGGTAACAGAAAGGCAATGCGAGGCAGGGAATTGTTATTAGGAAAGAAATCAGGTAGAAGTACGAAGTGTACTGTCGGAAGTGGTACTGAATGCATGCATCCGTGTATGAATGTCGTTAGAAGTAAAGAACATCAGTATATGTAGGTAAACAAGTAGAAAAGAATAATATCAGATAGCACGGGCGAGCATATCGCTCAAATGAATCAGTAAACAGAAGCAACATCATAAAAGTGAATCAGAGCTGTCGCTCAATTATCTGTATAAAAATCATTACGTGACACTTCTCTCCGTGTGAAAGGACTGTCCGCAGTCCATAATTACTATAAGAAAAGCAGAAAAGCGAGTCAACCAGCAATACGATTAAGCAGCTGTTTTTATGCTTTGAAATTTCCGAAACAAATTTATTGTACATCGAATTATAATATGGAAATAATAGTTATGCTCGATACAGTTGGAAGAAATACAGATACAACAGCGTAATAATTTGAATTTTATTTTTGGAAACCTTTTGAGGAAAACCGGTTCGAACCAAATTTTCATTTTATAAATGTTTTGGATTTTAAATTCCCTGACTCATTTTCATAACAAATGCGGTTCTGTCGATGATATCATTCGGTCGCACTTGAACTTGAACTTTGATCCGCGGTTAACCATACACCAAAACCACAACAGAACACCGTATTCAAGCAAATAAATAGACATCTCACTTTCTGAGGCAAAATTGATACCAAAAATCTAATTTATAGATATTAAGTCACTGGTTTTAAACATTGTTCGTTCGCTTTTCTAAACACACGCCTCTTTTCCCCTTTTTTAATGCAACTTCAGTGCATTCAGTCTACGATGCTAAACTCGTGTCTGACTGGTAATTTTGCGTCTTCTGCGATCGAGTCGCGCGTGTACGATCCTTTACGTAATTCTGTTCTGTTTTTTTTTTCACAGCAATTTTCAGTGCTGTTGCTGACAGGTTTTGGTCAGAGACATTACAGCCAAATTTATGCTGTTGCAGACAAGTTTTTTTTTGTTTTTTTTTCGCAGAGACTTCACAGCAGATGGTATTGCTGTTTCAGACAGGTTTTTGTACATCGATTCTAGACTGGAGTGGGTTAATCGTGAGGCCTGTGAGCAATTTTGATTCGCGTAGACACTGTGCAAACCAACTGCTGCACCAGAATATTCGTAAATTATTTGAATTTCAAAATTAAATTTTGCCTAAGAAAAGTTTGATTTCCATCTATATACAAAAATACTATGCTCTAACCATGGTTGTAATGCAGGGCAATCGATATGAGCACTCGGTCACCTCTTCAAGGCTGTAATAACTGATAAAATGCGGCGACCTAAAGCTTCAGTTAGCGAACCTGATGTAACTGGGTTCCCGGGGATAGAACCGAGTTTATCTGCAAGAACTTTTTTTAAATTTCGAATAAAATCTCACTATTGTCGAAAGAACTTTCCAAACCAGTATCTTTTGATAAATTTTCTCCTAGAAAAAAGCGATCTTTTATATTGGGAAAATTTAATACTATGATCCTGACGATTTTAAACCTGCCTATATATAATGCAAGAACCTGACAATTTAATTAAAAAGAACAAAATCGACAAAAAATTAATTACGCAAAGTAGACAAACAATCAAAATAAAATAGAATATTTTTGAAATTTTGGGATAATATTTTTTGAAATTTTAATTCATTTGCTGGCTGACTATACATGAGCGGCAAAACGAGCGACCATATTGAGCTGTTGGTTGACGGTCCTCCGTTATCAAAGGGCCCAGCGTCCATAGCAGTACGGAAACAACGTAAAGAGACGAAAAGGTCGGGGAACACGTGTGGAATCCAAACGGTATCCGTCCATCCACAGTCGTGCATAATTGGTCCAACGCGAGAAACGATTCGGTCAGATGTAGGGAGTTCACGGGTGTGTCCGCGCAGGAAATAGTGTGTTGATCCAAGCCTAATTGAGCCGGTCGGCTTACATCAGGCTTGTGGATTACAAGGTGGTGCAGGCCCAAAGGAGGCTGAACACAGAACGCATTTGCCTGGAATGACACTTACAAGCGCTAACTAAAAAAACGAATTCACGGCTCAACTCTGCTTCCGTAAATAGAATGCCGTTCTCATTTTTACGGCCTTTTGTATAATTTTCACAAACACAGATGGAGCGTTACACTTTCGGCAATTTTTGATAGCTGTTATGATTCGCAATAAAATTTTCCATGGCAATATCTATATATTCAGTCATAAATGAAAAGTTCGAAATAAAATTTTTTTTTGTTTGGAATCAATGTAAATCTCAGTCTGCGCAGTCCTAAAATTTACCAAGAGCCATTTTGAAAGGAAACGAAACTCAGTTCAGCAAGTTGCGAGAAAATAAATACATCTGGCACAATCCGCCGTTATGATCATGCAAATTTTTTTTAAATTCCCAACAAGGGTCATTTTTGAACAACTTCATTTGCTAACACTTTTGTCTCGAGCGTATAATTTTTATATCATCTTATAATAACGGGCCTATGAGGGTTCAGGTCTGCGGGCGGGCTGCAGTAATTTCGGAGGCTTTTCAAAAACATTGCGTTTCGCGGAACACCAATGCTGCAGAAAACATTTAACGAACATATACAAATACCATCCTGGAAAAGAAATAACCATTCGAAAGAGTACAAATAAAAGCAATAAAATATAGTTTTTCAAACACGCAATTATCAGGAATATCGGACAATCAAAAACGCATTACTCATTGAGTTCCGAGATTAGAATCCTTTTATTGGCTCTTTCAACCTTACATAAACCAATCTGAGTTTAAGAAAACTCTTCAGTTTCGGGCTGTCAAAATTCCAAATTAAACACATTATGCGTAGACGCTACTCGCACTTTATCACTACACAGGGGATTCACTAAGATTCTGCCAACTTTTACTGCGGTCCATGGTATAGCTTCGCCGGTCTGAGTATACTCTTTTCAACTAAACAAACATTAACTTGACTCCGAGGCTTTTGCCTTTGAATAAATGTAACAAATCATTATTTTACCGGCTGGGTCACTACGCTCTCCGGACGAGTCTATAGTTCTTCCCTAGGTGATACTAAAGTTTTAAAAAGAACGTGCACTTTCTTTTTAAACACTAAGTCAACATTTTTGTTAACCACGTATTCACCTGATGATTCGCTGCTATACGTCACCTACAGCGCAACGGTCTATAGCTTTTAATTAATGTTTATTTTAAATCAATGCAAATTCTAGTCTGCAGTTCTAGAGCTAACAATGATTTATTTTGTTGCATATCAGAAACGTTAATCCAGACTCGCACTCTGGTAGTTTTCAACTATGCGAATAAAGTATGTACATTGGGCACAACGTTCGTCCAATCTGTCACCTTGACCTACTAGTTGTGTCTATCCAGTGCCGTCGCTTTGCGGAGTCATTTATTCTCTGGCCAGTTCAACAATAAAAATTCCAAAAACACAAAAAGAAACACGTGCATTAAACCAAAATAAAATATCAAAAACATATTTCCTCAAAATAAATTTTCAAAAACATAAAAAGCACACGTGCATTGCTTCAGATAATTCATTCGCCGATGTGCTTCTTCCTGGATAGATAATTATTGCAGAATCTAGTACGTCGCTTTTATCCCTTCCCCTCTTTGACAAAAAACTTCATACAGTAAGTTTAAAAACCAGTTGTACGTTAGGTCGGATCCGTCAATGATTTGAGCCAAACATTTTAGGAAATCAAATGATAAGTGATTAAAAGTGGATAAAAGGTTACGAAGTTAAAGAGCTAAAACAAAACGGTTATTTTTTTACTACATTTTAGACGGTCATAACATTCCTACAAAACGATGCGCTAAACGCATATCCACATGCAGTATTAAGGCAGGACAGTAATATTTGGAAAACGGAAAAGTCTCATAAACATTTTTTTAGTGTTTCGTAAATAATCCAATAGAACTTGGCATATATACAAGCATATATACGAGGGTTGTTAGTTATGTTGTGTCATTCATATTTTATTTATTTCTGGATTCATACAATTATTATATTATTTTCTTATTACTATTAATAAACTCTTAAGGCATCGTTTTCATCTATTGCCAAATTTGCAAATATGCTACACAAAAGTTGTAAAATTTTTAAGCGATGGCGCCTTGGAAATTTCCTTTAATTTTGTTATTTTTTGTTATCTCATTTCTCTGCAACGAATCTTTCCGATTCGGAAAAATTTTGAATCTGTGCAGGATCAAGCTTATCGATTATTTAGGTTACAGGAATATCCGAACTAGGGATTAAGAGTAATAATTTTTTTAATATTTAAGAGACTTTTGGTTTGGGTCCGTCGTGGTGCCAATTCCACCAGTCGACCAACTCCCGCCTCCATTTTTTTGCGTTTTCTCAAAGAAAGTTGCCAAGGTATTTGCAGACGACTGTAAACGGTTGATAGTTATTTCCGACTGAAAAGGCTTCTGCGAATAATTTCATTGCTGCGAGGCGCATCAACATAAACGTTTCTTCGAATGATTTTTGGCTCTTGGTCTCCCGCTCCATTGACAAAACCCTGTTCTGTTCTGCTGCTTCCACCAAGTATGGCGCTAAGCAAATCAGGATCTGTCGTGAGTGTAGTCTTAGGTTTAATGGCTAAATGAAAGAAGTTTGGCTTTCCTAAGGAGCATTAAATGCAAAAGCACCAGTAACCACTAAGCAGCGTAAGTGGTGCCCCACGGTACTCCGCCTTGCCAAAAATCAGATCCACGCGCAATACAGAATCTGTTACTGGGGATCTGGTCTATGCTTCCCTGTCCATCCATCGGACAAATACATTTGGGGATCGGTGTCTGCCAAGCTCAACAGAATGGCATGCTGTTTTAGGTTCCTCAACAAACAGACTGTTCCGATCTCCTCTCGCCATCCCTTGTTAAAATTCCAGAATTCCAGAATTAATTGCGAATTAAATTTGGTGCGAGTGAGTCGTGCTCTGACTCACGCTGACTGCCACCGAGAGCGGCCATTGACTCGGCCATTAACCTACTATTACAGTTATGATATGCTCTACTTTTTAAAAATTATTTCATATTTTTAGTTTCATAACTAATATACGCACGACAGAACATAACTAACAACCCTCGTACAACAGCCTCATTAATATCAGGGTGGCTGTCCCGGTGCACTTGCCGAACGGGACGGTGATCTGGCTTGCGTGGCCGAATGCTCACCGCTTGCCGACTGTTGACGTGCACCACCAATGTTAGTAGTGTTACGTTTACCCTTTTCAACAGGCCTGTAATTACGGCTATTTAGGTTTAAGTAACACACGGAATAAAGGTGACCAACCTTGTGGCAGTAGTTACAAGCACGGCTTTCGCGTTTACGTTTGGGCTTGGACGGCGCATTAAGCTGATTTAAAAGAGAACTGCACTCATTCAAAAGTTTGTTAACTTTGGCAACCACTGATAACAAAGCCGGAGTTTTAATAACTGTTACAGGCCCTAGTACATCGACGACCGGGCTACATGGAACCAAGTCCTTGAGGAGTTCGTGCTTCATGACTGCAACTGAATGCCGACGTGTAAAAAGGTTTCCTGAAGATTTCATGGCCAACAAAAATGACTCAACCAAGCTTTGACCTGCTTCTCCTGACTGGACAGTGGGAGGGTGTTTGCCAGTTCTTTTGGGCTGATTCATTTCAGTAAAGCTGCAGATTTAACAACCAAGAAAAAAAACGTTGAGTAATAAGGTTCGGCAAGTCTGATTAATGAGATAGATTGGAGATTATTTTAGGAACGGCCAGGAACGTTGAACCAAGTTCGGTAAGGGATTGGTCACAAAAGGGTATTAGTCAAAAAAGAACACTATCATCAAATCAGTAATCAGTAAACAAGTCCGATAATCTCTGAAAATTTCCAACAATGAGAGAAAGTGCAATTGGGTTCGGCAGTTCCAAATTTTGGGTAGGGCATAGCCCCAGCATGCAAACGTTTACTGACTCAACGAGTCAAAATAAGATAAGATCAAGGCACAAATCGATAAACAACAAAAGTAAAGTATATTATTTTCCGAAAACAAAGGTCACCAAAAACATCAGAAACGAACTATTTATCTTGCTTACGAATTATCAAATTTCATAAGCAGAGAACTGGTAGTTCGATTGTCCAACAGAAATATCGTAACCGACACATGCTGTCAAGTATAGATTGTTGTAATATGGAGCTATCGCTTTTCCGAAGCACTGATGCGGCATCGATGTAAATTTAATCCATTCAGCGTTCATTAAAAAATTCGTAAGGTGAAATTGCTTTAAACAACAAAACAGCAGAGAAACAACGGAGAGTGGTTACGCAGAAATTTTTTTTTATTAAGAAGCAGGATCAGTAAACAGTATTCTTAGATTCGAAAACAGCTCGGTCGTGCGTATTCAGAAAATGTGCGTTAATCTGAAAGCATCATAAACATTTTTTAGTTCCACTTTTTTTGACAGCAAAGTGAGGCGGAAATTTTTCAGATCATAAAAGCGCGCAGTTTATCGAAAGCAATGCAGATTTTAAATGAAAGTAAATCTTTACGAACAGAACTAACAGTGGATGCACAAATATCATACATCGTATACGTACAGTCTTTTTCGAGAGACATTTTAATAAAACCCAAGCACTGACGTAACAATAAAGTAATGGAAATATTGCACTAAGATTTTTGTCATTAGATTTTTAAAATGGCAACTGTCAAGGATACTCACGACGTAACATGTTAAGCTGGTATTGCTAACGACAAAATCGGAAAGCGCGCGCGGAAAGCAGTTCCCGGTGCAATACGGCTTGCTGGCGCTAGGAAAATTACGCTGCTCGAATGCGGCACAGAAGTAACGGCAGTGGCAGCGGCAGCCGCTGTGAAGGGATGATGGTATCGTCGTATTAAAGCATCGTGCATCAAGAAAAGGAAACAATAATACAAATAATAACTGACAGCTGAAGTAACCGACAGGTACTTCTCAGTCGTCGGACCAGTTTGTTACATAATTTATGGCAGAGCAAAGTAATTAAAGGTCACGGCACGGCTAAACCGGCCGGTATGCTAACATATGATAATATGCATTAACGGTAACAGAAAGGCAATGCGAGGCAGGGAATTGTTATTAGGAAAGAAATCAGGTAGAAGTACGAAGTGTACTGTCGGAAGTGGTACTGAATGCATGCATCCGTGTATGAATGTCGTTAGAAGTAAAGAACAGCAGTATATGTAGGTAAACAAGTAGAAAAGAATAATATCAGATAGCACGGGCGAGCATATCGCTCAAATGAATCAGTAAACAGAAGCAACATCATAAAAGTGAATCAGAGCTGTCGCTCAATTATCTGTATAAAAATCATTACGTGACAATACTGCTCTTCTAAAGATATCCTTGCAAAACTGCATACCTATTATGATAATATATTAGAATCTCAGAGTTGTGTTTGCCTTGGTATGCTAAAATCCCTTGAGAATAACCATTCACTGATACACTGAAACTCACTCTCACTGGAGTAAAGTATAAATGCAGGACGTCCGCGCGGCCAAGATTACGTACAGTCGTACAGTACTTATAGTCACGTGAAAACCGGTGATGACTCTTGTGAGTATGAGTACAGAGTATGAGCGATCACATATTCTTGCCCTATCTAGCCAGTCTAGACTTTGGCAGGTACAAAGTAGCTTTTGGCGCCAGTGGGCAGTCAGGCCGCTCACGCTGGAGAGAGAAGATCCGGCTCGAGGAAACAATGCGGGTCATGATTGTAACAATATTCTTGTAATCGATATCATAATAATCGACTGACGTACAGAGAGACTGCAATTCGGACTTCGGAGTATTTCTGGCGCTTTAAATCATGCGACGAAGTTTTCCATCCAGGCAGCTGAATCACCGACCGCCTTCAAGATTTAAGGCTGCAAATTTTAATATTCAGTTTACGCGTTTAAGTTTATAAGCTTGAAGTGCGCAGTTAGTTTTGACTGCTGCCATTTTCCCTCCGTGCTGGGATTTGGAAAAAATTCTTATTAGATTTTGCGATTTGTTGCTTTGATACTGTCAGTGTACCGCACCTCGATTAATGCCAATAAATTACTTGTATTACCGTAGCACGCAATGCCGATCCGATCAGTTCAAGGGATCTACTGGTCTCGACCGAGATTTCGTCCTCTTGCACGCAAATCGCAGCACAGCAATCCGCATCGCAAGAATTCTTGTTTTATCTTGCGACGCGGTGGAAACAGCAATAGAGTAGTGGATACTCTGGCTGAAGATAAACTGTTGAGCGGAACAGTTTGCAACATCACCAGCGCTGAGCTGTTTATTGATTTTGGCGGAGCAACGTCGCGTGTGGATAAATGTAGCCGCCTGGTCCCGTTCAGAAGCATCTACCTCCGCCGGAATCAGAACTTATTATTCGATAAAGGTCAAGCTGACATGCTGTACGCGCGTTCAATAGGCACGTATTAATTTAGACATAGGAGTTGAGATCTGAAGTCGCTTTACTGAGTATACTGCACCATTACACTTTTGTTTACAAAATAAGAGCAAACCAATACGTAATTATAGCAAAATTAAGAGTTGAGATTGTACTTAGCTTTTCAGTACAAACATCAGCCATAAGAAAATGGTGAATGTGTTATTACCAAGTAATCACTAAACAAGGCTGTATTATTACTAAACAACCAACAAGACTGTTTTGTTTTCAGTAATAAGTAACTACTTAATTTATGTATTATAATTTATAATTAAACTTCATTGCAACTAACATATCGAAACCAACGCTAGCGCAGTCTACCGTTGAAAAATCAAAATACTGCCTAGAATACACTATTAATTTATTTCTGATACGTAGAGAAAGAAGAAGAGTTCACCGTAGAAGTGCAAATCAGTTGCGCTAGAGGTGAGCCATGGAAACGATATTCCGCTACTCTTTTGATGGGAGATTTTTCCTTGTACTCTTTCGGATTGGTCCGAATAGCACTTCCAGATGGGCCTATCACAACCGTTCTTCGGGGAAACCAGATTCTGATACCTTTCGATCGCAGCGTGGCCGCGCTTGCCAAAAATGGTGATTTCTGCAAAACAGAGGTAAGAATTGTTGCATTGTCAGAAAAATTTTAGGCATAATAAGTTTTGTAGACCATCTGTTTGAGCAAAGGTGTAACGTTACTGTACATACTTCTACAGTAAAAAGGTTCGAAATTTCATTTAAATTCAGTCGTTAACCTTTAATGATACCCGGAAACTCTACCGCCCAAAGCATTCAGTTGTCTGCAACGCAAGAACATCTCGAACAAACGTTCGGAACACAAAAACACATCAGCTTGTTATGAAAAAATAGTTTGGCAAAATTTCACACTCATTATGGTCAATAACTAATATGCTCAATGACTAATATGGTCAATAGTTTATTGACCATATTAGCTTAGCTGTTGCGCGGAGGATTATGTTTGAAAATTTACAGTATACTCATACCTCCACAGCGATATAGGTTTTACCATTTTTTAAGGAAAGTGTCGGCAAGATTATGCTGACTTTTCATAGATAACAGGCAAAAAGACCGGCGGCTCAAAACAATGCCGTAAATGGAAACAGAAGCAAAAATTTTGCCATGGCGGTTTCAAAGTAGTCAAATATAGCAGTGTTGACTATACCGAACCTTTGGAGAGCGGATTGAGCTTGTTGCCGGTTGAACTCTTGGCGAAGATCTTCGAATATTGCAATACTCCACAGCAGTGTCGACTACGAGGCGTATGCAGCGCTTGGAATGGTGTCCTGACATCGTCTCTTTTACCTAACCAACTAAGTCTAGAATATGGATATCTAAAAGACGAAGAAGTTGCCGAAGAGGAATACCTGAACGCCGCTAGCATCTGTCACCTATGGAGCAAACTGATCACCATTACGAGTTCTTCGCGATTGGCCCATTTCGGACACAAGCTGCCAACAACGAATGCTGTCATCTTCCAGCGCATCATGCAGGAAAAAGGCTACAAGAAAGCTAAAACGCTTGTTCTCCATAATCAACAATGGAATGTTCAAAGTAAAAATTTTAAAGAACGCTTAGTCTCTGAATTTATAGTCGATTTGCATGCGAAATTAACTGCATTTGCATCCGTGTGTGAAACCCTGGTGATTCGCAATCTAACGGTCAATTTGCAAAATGTGAACAAGAGTCGGCAATTGCAAGTGGTGATTGTCCGTGGGCACATCGGTGGCGATTGGTCTCTGGCACTGAACGATGTATGGGATCTAATCAATGATAGTTTTCCAATTCCGACGGACGATGATCTGAGAGCTGTTGCCGCCTGGATTCAGGCGACGTTTATTTATACAGATTACGCGGATTTCAGACGCATAAGGAAGGTCAGTTTTTTTTTAATTTTTTTCAAGAGAGTTCGAAAAATAACCAAATACTCGCTAAAATGTTGACCTACCTGCAATTTTCTTATGTCACTCAAGTGCAATACATACAGGAGTGTATTAGAAACACACACCAAAATCGCCGTTTAATAAGGTATTACGGTTTCAGGTTCTGATGAAAATACAGCCGCCGGATCTTCACACTAATCAATATAGCCATGATGTCTTCCCGGCAACGGCTTATTTCGACATCTTGATGCGACTACAGGACGTGCACAAATTGTCCAGGTTCGCCGTGCATGCCCTGTTGAACGAATTGAGATATCGCCGGTTTGTGCCAATCATTCAGCTGTCGTGGTAATGGCCTTCGCTCCGCTCGTGAAAAGACATGGATGCTGCCACGCATGTCAACCTTCGTTCGCTGGTTTTACGAATGTTTCCAGGTCTTCGCTTGTACTGTACTTCAGTTTTTAATGACTTGTAACAGCATTAGCTGCAGTGCAATGTGTTGAACTTATCTGTACTCTGAATTGAATGCAAATTCTTTTTTGGAAAAATTAGAAAAGTATGCGGAATGCTTTTTAAAGGTTATGTCTCCACGAGTTATGGTATCACTGATCGAAGAAAGATAAACGCATATGTTGATAGCCTGATACAGATTTTTGTGCCCTAATATGTACTGCTGAATTTATAACGTATAGTGTGGCGTTTATTCTTAATTGCTTCCTAAACTTCCTTAACAGTTTCACAAATAAGCACATGAAAAGAATAATTAGCGAGCTTTTACACTTTGCAGAGGTGTTCTGTGTGTTTCCATACGAGCAGCAACGGTGGCACACTCATTTCTTATTACCTACTACTTTGTCTTCGTTTCGATGGGAAGCTAGGGAAACCAAACAATGGTTGTAGGTTGGCGTTCTAAAAATTGGTATAAAATCCTCAGTATTATTGTCCTACTCACCAATAATGTAACTACTGTAGAAAAGGAAGATGTTTTATTGAATACTGACACACCCGCGCAGCGGGAAAAACCTCGAAAGATTATATAATTTAAATTCCACTTATCGCCGAACGCAGTGCCAAAGGTGAGTGCATACACTGCGAGCAGCTGCTTTATTAAGTATCAAGTACAAGAACTATACTACGCGCGGCGCCCCATATTTTCCCGATCTCAATAATCAAAACGATTTTTTTAAAAGCTGACAATGCCAGTAGATCGACCTCGGTCCAGAACTGGCTCACATGGTTTTCGTTTTAAATTCGTTCGACCAGAATTATGGCGGCACGACGCCGCAGACGATCCAACCCACTTTCAAGGTGACCTTGGGACTTCGAAAAAATTTGCCTGGATGCATTACAAAGCATAAACTGACATATTACACTAATTAAACCGAAAAATAAATAAAGTGTACTTATTTTCGTGCGGCACCAAGCACAAAATTAATAAAAATTTAGCCTCCCGGCTTTGGTTGTCGGCACTTTTGTACGCTATTTCAAGGTTCTAATTGTACTTACAAGTGCTGGAAGTTTATCGGGCAGTTTGATATTGCTAGCTTCAGACACTCACTAGAGCTGCATTTACTCATGTGTGACTATTCACTCACTCCTCATAATGTTTAACTATTCAGAACTAAATACGCAAAAAGAAAAAAAATTTCGTATTTCTTAAAAGCGTTCTAAACAAGCTGAACTCGAAATAAGTCTCGGTTATTCAACAGCCCAAATTTACACCAAACGCGTGAGTGACCGAATTGCTGCCCCTGCCCAGTAAGAAAAATCAGAGGCCAGGTTAGTGACCGAACTTGTGGATGAGTGAGTGGCCGAGTTACCACCACTGACCAGAAAGAAAACTCTCTAGTTGAGTGAGTGACCGAGCTACTACCATTGCGAGAAAAATCACTGGTCGAGTTAGTGACCGAACTACCCAGTGAGCAGAATCTCTAGATGAGTGAGTGTTGGAGTTACCACCACTGTCTAATGAGCAAAATCTCTAGAACAGTGTGTAACCAAGCTATTACCACTGTCCAGTAAGAAAAATCACTAGATCTGATTGAGTGCCCGAGCGATCACCGGTGTCCAATGAGCAGAATCTCTAGGTGAGCGAGTGACAGAGCTACCACCGCTGGCCAGTAAGAAAAATCAGTAGACGAGTGAGTTACCGAACTACCACCACTGTCCAGTGGGAAGAATCTTTAGGTGAAAGAGTGACCGAGCTTCTACCACAGTCCAGTCTATGCATGGTTCAACTTATAATTTTTGGGAAGAACACTTCAGCAATCCATCTAGATTCTAGAGTCTTTCCCCAAGACGCTGTACAATAACTGATAAGGCTGGTAATATGAGTACATTTACTAATGAACTAAACTAGTTCTGCATTCAAACGGACCGTGGATCACAAGAAACGCGGAGGCGAAGCCGAAACTGTTTCTTGTACATGTATAATGCATGCTGACCATTGATCATCAAGCTAGGAAACAGAACAGACCACTGCACCACGCCCACTATCCCCAGGTCCAATAATAATCAGATCACTGGCATAATCTTTTCCCTTTTAATCTGCGTTCAATATGGATATACTGAAGGGATTGACGAACAAGATATTGATATGCATCTAGTCCTCAAATATAACTGAGATGCATCTAGTCCTCAAACTTCCCCGCTCGATATATATCGTCCTTGCACCATGTTGTGACGTCGACGCGAAACTACGAGTACATACTGTCAGGCGATCGGTGCCACCGCCCAGGATAGCGGTTACGATTGGGGCGTTGGGGCATCACCGATTCTGCCGTGTTGATTTTCTGTTGTCGATTTAGTGTTCAGCTCCACGCGTTTTCTATTTCTGGATAAACCCAGAAATATCACAGTGTCGCTTTGTTTTTGGTCTTTGCCGCATTATTCCCTTTCGGGAGTGTGCAGATTTTGTCGGGCATTATGCCTTTATTGTCATCTTTCGATTTCCAATAAAAGATTGTTTGGTAGCAGTCGCTTTCTGTTCGCACTTCTGTGCAGCACCATCGACGTGCTTTCAATACTACACAGGTAGTTGTGATACAGCAAAACCGCCCTATAATCGAGGTTCGCTTTGCAAACCGCATCCGTGGGCATGACTACTGCACAACGCAACATCTTGCGCGGTTATCGAACCTAGCGTTGCATCAAATAGACGAGATACACCTTCAGCGAAGCTATCTGTTTTTTACCATTGCGTCGGAACTGCATATGCTATATCGATCGGGACGCGAAAGTGCAAAGTTTGCAGAAAAGCAGGGCAAGCGTAGAGCTTTCTGGTTGAATAAGTCTAGAGTTTTATTACAAGACTTCAATTTGACTAATAATAGCATACCCACTCAGGGACATTTCTATCGTCTGATGGTTTAACATACAAAATGCGTTCTACTAAGAGCTAAGCACCACAATATCAAAGGAATCTTTTTGCGTCCGGATGGAAAAACATCCCTCTGATCTCCTCTTAGTGGAACGCCTTCCGCTTATTGAACCATCAGGCATTAGAAAGTTCAAAGAGCTATTGCGTTTTTATTACAGGACTTAGGAATCTCCAAATAAGACTTTAGATTTACTGGGACAGAAAGTTCCATGTTACCTCTTAATGGAAGCCTTCTTCATGCTGAACCATTAGACATGACAAAGGTAACCGAGTGACTGCTTTTTGTGAATGGCAACACGGATGAAATGACATTCGTTTGATCGTGTGGTACCTGTCTCTTAGTACAGATAGAGCACCCTCTGTATTTTGAACCATCAGACATTATATTAAGAATGGATAAGAGTTGACTTTCGTATTCAGAAAATTCTGGATGTTCGTCCATTTACGAGGATTTTCGGCTGGAGCAACGGGAAGACATTCTTCCACATGGCCATTGGCAATTTGGTGCGTGGAATCGAACTACTACGCAAAACCGCATAGTGCTATAAAGTTCGAAGAGCTATTATTGCGGAGAACGGGAGAAGCAGTACTAAATTTTAGTATTCCCTTAGAACGGCAGCCGTGATCACCTCGGCTGCTCTGATGTTTATGGAATATTGCAAATCGATCCACAGCCCAGCAGCATTTGTCTTCCAGTGGAGATACCAGCATGCGCAAATACCAGCTGGGCAACGACTGAAGAGCGTAATATATTTAGCCATTCCATAATTTCAACTTACAGTACTCAGTAGTCAATGATGACGTATGCGGACTGTGCTAACACTCTGCGCGGGTTTCTCACCGTAGTGATCTTTTACTCCTCTTGCACAAAACTGCACAAGATGTTTCGATCGCTAGAAAATTTAATTCGTTTGGCGTACGATAAGCCGGAGCTGCTTACTTCGATGATCCGAAAATGGCGATTACGTGCAATTACATTAGGCGCGATAATATTAATTCTGTCCTTGCTAACCGAGTGTATTAACTGGAAATACCGGTTTGAAACGGTGAAAGTAACAATTGTTCAAACGAAAATCTGGATTTTTCAAAAATAATGATGCTGCAAGAAGGTCAGGCCGAGCTTTGGTGTCTCGGCACCGGCCCCGTTTTCGGCATTTCACAACAAATATTCGTTATTTGTATTGGCTGTGCGATTATTCAGAGGGACTGCTACAAAGTCCTGGCCGAACAGATTTGCGACGGGGGTGCAAGGGAAGTCAATGTGTCACGGTTATTCACCAGTGTACACCGCTTTCACGTGATTGTATACCGCGCCAGTGAAAAGTGTCAAGAGATCTTTGATTGGCCAATATTCGTAATCATTTGTTTGGATCAGCTAACTGCGTGCGGGTGTGTTGCCGGGATAGTGTCGCTCCTCAATTCCAGGGAGAACTCGCCGGGAGCTTGGCTGTATTTTATCGTATGGTTTTCTGTGTATCTCTCTTATTGCACAGTTTTCTTGGTTCCTGTTGTCGCAGCACCAGAGCACGCATATGCAACAGTCAGTTAATTTTACGTTAAGCTTAACCTTTTACGTTAAATTTTACGTTAAACTTCGGTTCACATCCTGCAAAATGGCAAACTGTAGAAACACATGTAGCGCGGCTATGTTGATTTTATATATTAGTACAAACTTGCTTGGTCTACTAGAAAAGCAAAGCCCATCAAGCTATCAAGCAGATTGGTCTATTAAGCAAAGTGTTTATCGTTCTCGACAGTGGCATAGCATCCACGACCTAATCTACAAAGTCCGTCAGAATATTACGGAAAAAGGAGTGGAAAACTCGACACAAGATGTCAGCGTGGAAGATAAAATGGAGAATCTTATGTTTATTCGACGGCATCAGAGTGCTGAGCTCGTCGCTGGAGATATTTTTGGGGTCAATCGATCTCTGCTAAAACAGGTGACATTTTTTGAATGCATGTCGCTTGTTCACAGAAAGTGCGCTGCAATATTCCGAGTTACTAACAAAAACATTGACCCCATGAAGGTCATATGTTTGTAGTTACGAACTTACAACCATGACTAGCAGATTATCTCTGGGGTCTCAAAGATGTTTAAAGGTCAAGGCTGCTAAGCGTGTCTGGTTATACAAAGCATAATACAAAGTACAAAGAGCAATTTCGAAGAATTACAGTAGTATTAGTGTAGTACTAATTTGAATGTTCCCGTAGACCGGAGCTGTGATCGTCTCGGCAGCTCTAGTGTTTTATGGAATATTGCAAATCGATCCACAGCCCAGCGCCAGTTTTTTTCTGGTGGATATTCCGACATGCGGGAATACGAGCTGGGCGACCATTAAAGATCCTAACGCGACGTTTTCGGTTACTCCATGAAATCTGATAACCGTAACCGAAGAAACTCTCTGCCGGAAGAAAAATTCGGACTAAACCTACGACGGCTCTTACTTCCAGGGATAAAAAAGCACTGATACTGCCTAATTTTGGCTGAATCGCTTTCGTAATCGCTCGACTTTTTGTAGCAATCAGGCTAATGGGTCTGCGTAATTTTATCTAACGCTGTTATTGAGGTAAATGTAATGGATGCAAACGCGTTACGCCGCACCGGAAGTCGTGAACGTCCTGTTAGTTATTTTTGCACACTTTCGAAGATATTTCTGGCCAGTGCCCTTTTTTATTTGTAAGCAAGTACATAAAAAAGCCTAGAAGAGTTTTTGGGGATAAAACATTAATTTATTTGGTATTGCTGCTTTAGTCGATTATTAGGAGAAAATGCCTGTCTGTTTTGATACCTTCAGGCTGGAATTCTGTTTCCGATCGTGAGAAAAGGTGTCTGAATTCGCTAATTATAAGCATCTGTTGATGTTACTAATCGAGTTACTCTAGCGACTGCCGAATGCTCATGATCTATCTCATATCTTGTAACAACATTTCACAGTAGTACGGTCATATATTGGAATAACTAAACTAAACCATCCAGGCGTCATACGAAGTATTAACCATCCTTTGTCCAGGAAAATTGTCGTTGATTCCATGATCGATTTGTAGCAGGCCGTAGCAGACTACTGATGTGGAGACTATTAACGTAACCGCCTACAATATTACGCATAGAGATAGTCGCATTATATTTCCCGAAGCATAGCTCTGTGTGGGTTGCTACAGTTTGACTCACCCGCGCCAGAAGGGAGCGTGTCACGAAAAAGAACTCTCCAGCGTGGATTGCCACGGTCTGGTTACGTCGAATAAAAAGCAGCGCCTCAGTGCGCTCTTGGATGTTGTCAACACTCGGTTCTTTAAATTTTCTTTAAATTCCGTGAAAAAGTTTCTTTAAATTCCGTGAAAGGTCCTTTAAATTCCGTGAAGAAGTTGCTGCTGCTTCTGATTCTGTTGCAGCTAGAACACGTCAAATGACTTCGCTGGATGATCATCCCTATGCAGTGGATCCCGTCGGAACCGTGTCTTCGGATGGACAAAAACTCCTAAGCGAACGAAGTTTTGCATTCCTTATGGCCAGTCTTTGGAACAAGATTATACTTCCGAAGGAAGCGTATATAAGCGTTAGCAGCTTCGATGCAGCCCTCGTTGCTGTTAAATGGACGGATTTAAAGTGGACTAAACGTTTTATTCATAAAGATCATTTCTGTTTACTGTGAACTATACTGTTTATTTTTGCGGTTTTTCTTTGCGTAAGACTTTCGCTACTGCGAAAGTCTTACGTCTTTCGCTACTGCGAAAGTCTTTTCTGTTATGACTAGTCTACGACCTCGTGCAGGTTATACCTGATCGTCGCAGACGTCGCAGACGTCGCAGCCCATTAAACAAACAAACAACAACAACTCGACGGTAGGTCATCACCAAGTGACACTGCACTGGCTGTTTGTAGGAATTTATAAAGCGCCGCTTGAATCTCATCCCACTGCAAACACAAAAATGAACAGGTGTAGTAAATAATTTAAACCACGTTGCTGCTACGGTGAGTGGTACTGTACTTGTTCGCCGGCTTTGAAATGGGGAATCAAGAACACCGTGCAGTACGACACGTGGAAGCAGAACCACATCCCAAAATTCAGCCAAGCACTGATACTGATCATATCGGCTGGAGAGCTCATTAACAGCGATATCACGCCCACTACGCATCCACACGCCGTCATAACATCTAGCCCATACATGGCCAGAATCCCCATCCGTAAACAATATTAACATGTTCGCTGACGGCACAGGACACCGTGTGGAGTCTGTTAATCTGTCGTAAAAAAGTGGTAAACTCATTCTTTTTAAATTTCATCGCTACATCTGCAGTTTGTTCGATGAGGTTTCTGTAAATGTCCTTCTGGATGATGAACACCATAATACACGTTATAAGAATCTGTTGGGAGACGATGAAGATGGGCGTTAAACCGAGTGAATAGAAGATAATCTGTCCCGCCACCGGCATTTCCACCGGTGTAAACATCCATGTACTTGTGTGCGCCGTCTGCATGTTCTCGCGCGTATTGTACCAAAACTGCCAGTTTATGTAAGTAGTCCGTGGTAACGGTCATTACGACCGACACCGAGCCCCAGATCACACCGCACCGCCGCCACTTGCGACACTTCTGCGCCAAGAGATTCCGGTCACAGTTGGATAGATGGATAAAGTAATTTAGCGCTTCCTGCAGACGGTTGAATGCCGGACTCTCGAACATACATATCACAAAAGGAATCAAGGCACGCAGGACGCTAGTCGAATCCGGTAAGCGGGCGACGATCTCCACGAGGGAAGTGTCACGGACGGGTACGATTCTGGCATCGAAACCCATGCGACAAATTCCGGCGAGATCGAGAATCAGGATGAACGTGGCGTATACCGCTACGGTTAAGCAAATCATCCAACGACGACAAGATCTGGGTTTTCCACTTAATGACGGCAAGCCGAAGAAATTTAACAAGAGGTTCTGAAAGATGCACACATACGACAGAACATCGATGGGACCATTGCCTTCCGGCGCTGGCTTGTCCATCTTTAATATAATTACACAAATTTCTATATACGTAGAGGTTACTACAGAATTCAGATAAGTTGTTTATATAAAATCGTCAGTATACGGTACATGAGAATTCGGAATCAGTTATCAACGAGTACGTCCATATTCACTTTACTGCAAGCGACCGTGCAGTAGACGCGCTTGTTGTGTATCGGTAAAAATTAGCTATTAGCGGCACAAAAGCGCCCGTGGGATCTCTGCGTCCTGCTGCTTCCGCAGTTCTGCAAGTTCTGCACATTGTACCATTGCTTGTGTTGTACTCGTACCAGCGCAGCTTTAGTGAGTTGTTTATAGAGCGATAAGCTACGATACCGCGATACGTACCTCATAGAATATGACTTCCAGTGCCCATTATCAATAAAAATTACGCTAACCCCTTCTGGCGCTTGTTGTATAGTATATCTTTCTAGTTATTTTCCCATGACGCATAAAAGTTCGTACTAGCCGATTTGCTTGACGTTCTTTTGAGATTTCTCATCTGCTTTTTTTGTTTCACCGGGTTAAGCCCCCCGGGACAAGTAGATAGAACCGCACAATTAAGGCTAGCGTTGACCGTTTTCATTTCTTCCGCATTCTGCCAAATCATCCGTCCTCTACAGGCTTTTCAGTACTAATTCCTGTGCTGCTACAATCTATAGGACTGCAATAGACTCTTTGAACACCCTTCATAGACACCTCCGCCTGGTTCGTTATCGTATTTTTAATGGTCCATTTTACCG